CCATGCCATCCCTAAATAGGGAGTGCTACGTACTCTTTGATAAAAGCATCTGAACTTTGTTATTTAATAAGTTTTTGAATTTAATCTCATATTCTATAATTTTAAATAAGCCATTGCCTTAACGAAACAAACATTCAAATACTTAAAGAATAAAAACCTAGCCTCATATGATTAATAGATCGATAATATATAAGGTATAACCTAACAACACCAGAAATTCTATTAGATTCAGTACTGAAGAGGTTATGTTCTTTTGTGACTACAGTAATTTGTGAGTTATCTGTGGGCACTAGGCTACATGAAAACGAGAGTACTGTAGTACAGCTAAAGAAAACCTTTTTTTAACGCTTGAAAACGCAACCGATGTATCTTTTTACAAGAGATATTCATATTAATGGTTTATATACTATTGTCATTAAGTGTGCTACCAGTACTGAGGTATTGATTTATTGAATTGCTGACCGATCTTCATGTTTTATACTTAAATACATTATCTATTGAATCAATATTGTTTTAAGATCCATATGTGGAATATACTCATGTTGTAGTTTGTCTAACATTGTATAAGGTATCCGTTTCACAGGCACTGCAATTTGTATTACCAAACTGAAGATTCTTAACAGCTTCAGCAATTATAACATTAATACACTATAAATATTTAACTCGTTGTTAATTTTCTTCCAGTTATTTTTAAGTATTATTTGTGACCGTAAGTTAATCTACCGTTGTGCTACGTATATACTCAATTATAATTATATCGGAAAACACCGTTCGTGTACTAATCTAACCTATATAAAAGCTAGCGTGTGTCACGTCACGCTTGATGTCTTGAAATAGGGCAAGCGATAACAGCCAAAATACATTTAACCACGATAGAACAGTTCGATTACTGTCTGCCGTGAAACCTTATAAGTGTAGTGAGTGTTGGGATCACCTAGCTTAGAGCCAAGTGCATAAAATATATCAGGAAAGTAAAAATATCGATTCACTTGTAATCTTAAATCGTTTTCTGTTATATCACCAATGTTTTTTAATGAAAAACAAACTTCTTTAATCAACGGAGATTCTAAATTAGAAAATCAACAAATATTTTTTTCAGTTTTTGTTATCTATATATTTCATTTTATACTTTCGGTGCATAGATTAATAACAATATTAGGTTAGACTTTTGTTGCTAAGCAACATGACATAAAACAAGATATAAAATGCAATTTTTTAGAGTTGTTTACTAACATTAAATACCAGAGATAGTTTGTGTTTAGAACACTGTTCGTTAGTTACACCACATAACACAGGTTTGATAACATCACTTATCAATCAATTTATTTATAGAATACTGTATAAAAGTTACACCACCTAACAATGATTTTTACAACAGCCTCTATCTAATATAAGCTATATTATCAAATGTATTGGGGAAGCACACCTAAACAAGTGAGTTCATCTTGTTTCACCCTGGAATCTGTTTTAACAAGCGATTGGCTCATGTTTAATCCTACTTTCAGCCTAGACTCTGCCATCAACAATTTTACACTTTTGGTGAAATAGATCGCTACTTTTCCTCAAAGCAGCTCCAAATGTAATGAGATTTCATCGGTTTTCAGTATTCCTTTCGAAACGTTCCTGAACGAGGCTGGAGCTATGGATAGTACAAGACAGATTCTGAATATGCTAAGCATAGGATGTATCGTACATTTTGCATTATCGTCCTGTAGTGGTTAGACAGTGCGGAGCTGTCCAAAAACTCACAACACAAAACAAAAGACCTTGTAACTATTAGCAGTGAACAAATGCGTGGCCATTTATAACAGATGCATATCACTCGTTATCTAAACACCTAGGGCATTCTTATGTAAAGAGTTACATACAGATAAGTCACAACCACAATAACTAGAGGCACGCTAAGATCTAGCTGGAAATGAGTCACTGTTGTTTGAATAAAGCAGAACGAATCGTTACAGCGTAGGAATTGACGCGTGTTGGAGGTGAATTTCAAGACGTAAAAAAACAAACAAAAAAAAGGTTAAGTGATGCAATACGAGGAAGAGAAAACAAACAATGTTTTAAACACCAAAACAGGTGAACTTGAAATAATAATGTTTATTTGACTAATTATTTTGTATAAGTTAATTCGTTAGTTGAACTGGGTTTTACTGCACGAAGACGAGGATAAAAATGTTTTCTATTAAAGCTGAATTGTATGATACCAGAACAAGATTGACTTAGACACAACGATTCAAACACACACATGTCCAGTAAGAAATGAAGCTTCTCTAATTTTAATCAATCAAACATAAGATTTCAAAGTAACTACTTTGTGTACTTATGGGAAAGTTGGACTAGCAACATGCAAAGGTAATATTCCACAAATTTCCAGTCAAACAATATCACGAGAACACTGAGATAAGCAATTAAAGTCGGTAACCTCTGGAAACATCCTACAGTCTCAAGGTACAAGTTCACAGTGGTGAAGCCTGACATTTTACAGGTATCTAAAGTCTGAAAATATTAGATAAATTTTGAGCAAAGTAGAAAGGCTAGTAGCTCTGATAAAACATGCTTACTACACACCTCACTTGTCACTGTTGGTACGATACAGTCACATCCAAAGTTGAGATGAGAATGTCACATTCAAAGTTGTTACAACACTTTCAATCCAAACTTGGACATTCAAAGCTGGACTACACCCACACATTCAAAGATAGGACAATGTCGACAATTTAAAGCTGGAAGACAATGCCACACCTCGGTTCCTGTCAAACCCAAAACCAGGCACCATGAAACCAAAGCCTTATAATCCCAACTGTAATGAACAGTTAATTCTTGAACTCTAAATAAAATCATAGCTGATGGTTTTAGTGTCAGCTGTGTGGATTTATTTGAAGACACCTTCCAAAGTTCACAAGAATTAAAAAGTGATAGTACATTTGGGCGATAGGGATAATAATTCTTGCGTCC